CTCACTTCACCCCAGTCACCAGCACCAACCATCCACCACAGGCCAGCTCAAATGCCAGCCCTCCGAGAGCCCTCTCTCCTCTGCCCTGCTACCTTTCTTGGGGCAGCTGCCTTTTTTTTTTTTTTTTTTTTTTTTTTTAGGTGAAGTTTCCCTCTTGTAGCCCAGGCTGGAGTGCAATGGCAGAATCTCAGCTCACTGCAACCTCTGCCTCCCAGGTTCAAGTAATCCAAGTAGCTGGGATTACAGGCACGTGCCACCATGCCTGGCTAATTTTTGTATTTTTAGTAGAGATGGGGTTTCACCATGTTGGTCAGGCTGGTCTCAAACTCCCGACATCAGGTGATCCGCCCGCTCCAGCCTCCCAAAGTGCTGGGATTACAGGCGTGAGCCACCACGCTTGGCCTGGGGCAGCCCCCTTTCAAGTCCCAGAGCACCACTTCCTTCTCTGACTTCCTCCATCTCCCCACAGAGCATTCCCATCAGCCGTGCCCATCGCTGTCTCTCCCACTAGCCGTTATGTTCCTCAAAGACCCAGGAGCCAGCTCTCCTGTCCCCAGGACCTTGCACCATGAAGGTGGAGTGTACAGAGCAGGAGTCTGTGACTATGGGTGATGTGACTCCTGCCTAAAACCTCTGCTGCCGTCACTGCTGCCCCGGCCGGAGCAGCCACTGCCCACAGAGAGGTCTACTAATGGTGGCATTGGATGGGCTTTAGGTGCCCCCAGTGGTCCAGCTCACCTTCCTTGCCCACTTCAGCTCCATCAGCCACACCTTTCAACAGTCCCCAAGAGGGGAGGAATGCAGACACCTGAAGTCCTTAAGATGACAGGCCTCAGGAACCCAGATGCTGGGACACAGAGGGAAACCTAAAAGGAAGAAGTCACTTCAGAGATGTTTTATGCAAATACAAGCAAATGCATACGTGGATTCTTTTTCTTTTTTTTAAAGACGGAGTCTCAGCTCTCTCACCCAAGGCTGGAGCGCAGTGGCACAATCTTGGCTCACTGCAACCTCTGTCTCCCAGGTTCAAGCAGTTCTCCTGCCTCAGCCTCCCAAGTAGCTGGGATTACAAGCACGTGCCGCCACATCCAGCTACTTTTCTATATTTTTAGTAGAGACAGGGTTTCATCGTGTTAGCCAGGATGGTCTCGATCTCCTGACCTCGTGATCCACCCATGTCGGCCTCCCAAAGTTCTGGGATTACCGGCGTGAGCCACCGTGCCCGGCCACATACAGGGATTCTTTTTGTTCCTTTTTACTCTCTTCCATGCCTTGTGTCTCCCGTTTGCTGTCGGCTTTGGAGATCATTTCACTATCAGGTCAGAAGATCTTATTTCTCTGTGTTTTCAGCCACACAGCGTTTCATCGTAGGAACACATCGTGATGTGCTTGACGAGCCTTTGTTGGTTATTAGTTTAGAACGTGTGCTCCCACCCATGTTAAGGCGTCTCTGAGTGGGATGGTTCAGGGCGTCACCACGGCCTCGAACTGTCACATGGCACAAAGGCCTCATGCATGGATTCATTCCAAGGATTCCTGTTTAGCAAGCGTTGCGTTCCTTGGCTTACAGCCGCCTGAGCCCTAAAGGAGGTCAGTTAAGTAAAGGAGTCATACAAGAAAATAAAGAATAGCAAAGTTAAAATATTGTATGATGGGCCCTCGAATCAGAGGGTGGCAGAGAGGCCCTTGGGGAGAGTCTCACTCATCAGAACCGCCTGTCCCTGTTTTCACTCCCAACCCTATTTTCTCCAAGTCTTCTCTGTGTCAGGAAATAACACCCCATTCCCCCAGCTGCCCGAGTCAGGGTCATTTCATCAGGAAAGGGGTATCAGACCATTCCCTGATTGAAACCCATCAAGAGCTTCCCACTCTGAGGGTAAAGCCCTTAGAAGAAGCCTTGTGTGCTCTGCCCCTAAACAGTCCCCCATGTAGGCACAGCAACCCTCAGGCGCAACGGCGTCCTTCTTTTTCTTGTTTTTTTCTGAGATGGAGTTTCGCTCTTGTTGCCCAGGCTGGAGTGCAATGGCGCAATGTCGGCTCACTGCCACCTCTACCTCCCGGGTTCAAGCGATTCTCCTGCCTCAGCCTTCTGAGTAGCTAGGATTACAGGCACGTGCCACCACACCCAGCTAATTTTTGTATTTTTAGTAGAGACAGGGTTTCGCCATGTTGGCCAGGCTGGTCTTAAACTCCTGAATTTAGGTGATCCGCCCACCTCAGCCTCCCAAAGTGCTGGGGTTACAGGTGTGAGCCACCGCGCCCAGCAGGGTTCCTTCTTACCTTAGGGCCTCAGTGGTGGGTGTCCCCTCTGCCCAGAACCCTCTTTGCCTGAGGGTCTCAGCATCAAGCCACCTGCTGAGAAAAGCACCCCAATCCCCCATCTGAGTAGTTCTCAATCATTTTTTTTCTCTACAACTCCCCGTTTAGTTCCTTGCCAGCGTGGATCGCAATGTGTAATTATTTCATTTGTTTCGTTGTTTATTTTCTGTCTCCCCTACTGAAGTAAAGCCTCACAGTGGCAGGGATTTGGGTCGGGTTCATTCATCGCAGTCCCTCTGTCATGAGTTGATGCTATCAAGAAAGCAGATGCTGAGCTGGATTTGGGGGTGCCAGATGGCCCTTAAGGAGTAATACCTGTGAAGGAAAGCGGGCAAAGTGGGACTGGGCAGAGGGAAAAGCTGACCTGCGGTGCAGGCCCAGTAAGATCTCCACCAGCCAGGCGGAGCTCTGGACTATTGCCACTGGGGTTGCCCCTGTGGTGCGGAGGTGTCCAGGCCTCTACATCCCCTTCCTGTTTGGTCACCATAGGTGAGCAATCCCGGGAAGGGTGTGACCTTGAGCAAGGCAGGTCTCTGCAACGGGGGCAGATCCTGGCGTTACCGGCTCTCTGCCGACCACACTCCTCAAACCTGGGCACTGAGTCCTTCTTTTTTTAATTAATTAATTAATTTTTTTTGAGACAGAGTTTCACTCTTGTTGCCCAGGCTGGAGTGCAATGGCACAATCTTGGCTCACTGAAACCTCTGTCTCCCAGGTTGAAGCGATTCTCATGCCTCAGCCTCCTGAGTAGCTGGGATTATAGGTGTGTGCTACCACGGCCCGCTAATTTTTGTATTTTCAGTAGAGATGGGGTTTCTCTATGTTGATCAAGCTAGTCTCGAATTCCTGACCTCAGGTGATCCGCCCACCTCAGCCTCCCAAAGTTTACAGGCATGAGCTGGATTTACAGGCATGAGCCACTGTGCCCCGGCTTTTATTCATTTATTTATTTTGAGTTCTCGAATTGGCACACAATGCCTCTCCACGTCTATCTACCCCGACTCCCAACTCCTACCACCACGTCTGGCACATCATAGGTGGTCAGCATTTATTGGATAAATAAGTGAATCAATATTTGATTGAGTCTGAAAGTACAAATAGAATTTGGAGAAGTGGGGCTGAGCACGGTGGCTCACGCCTGTAATCCCAGCACTTTGGGAAGCAGAGGAGGGTGGACAGCCTGAAGTCAGGAGTTCGAGACCAGCCTGGCCAGTATGGTGAAACCCTGTCTCTACTAAAAAAAAATACGAAAATCAGGTGGGTGTGGTGGCAGTTGCCTGTAGTCCCAGCTTCTCGGGAAGCTGAAGCAAGAGAATTGCTTGAACCCAGGAGGTGGAGGTTGCAGTGAGCCGAGATCGCACCATTGCACTCCAGTCTGGGCAATAGAGTGAGACTCCGTCTCAGAAAAAAAAAAAGAGACAGAATTTGGAGAAGAGGACAAGGCAGGAAATGTGTGTTCAGGCATGAGGCTTAGCTTGTGCACAGGTAGAAAGGCATGAAAAGTCATGGAACATTCCCGAATCCACAAATAGCAAGAGAGGACGAAGTCGCTGTGTAGGGGAGTAGAGAAATGATCAGACGGGGTGGGCACAGGCCAGTGGGCAAGGGCCTTGTAAATTGCACTTGAATTTTATTCTACGAGCAAAAGGAAGAGCTTCAGGGTTTCAAGAAAGAGAAGGGCATGAGCAGTGGGTTTTAGGAAGCTCATTCTGTGGCCTTTCAGAGGATGGCTGAGGAGAGCCAGCTGGGAGGCAGGGACGTCGAGTCAGGGGATTTTGACCAGGCCAGGCTGGGTGCTATGAGGCCTGGGCTTTGGAGAAGAAGCAGGAAATGGCAGCAAGGGCAAGAAAGGGGAGAAGGCCAAAGCCTGGGAACAACCACCACTTAAGAACAGTAAAGAATAAACACCTAAAGAGAACAAGAAGGAATGGGCAGAGCAGGAAAACAGGAAAGAGCTGAGCCGTGGGAGCGCAGGAGAGAGAATGGTTCGAGAAGGAAGCAGTCACAAGTGTCAAGGCCGCTGAGAGGCCAAGTAAGATAAGGACGGAAGGTACCCCCAGTAGGGCCGTCGGGAGCGTGGGACTTGAGGGCACTTCTGGGTGGGAACAGACTCAGCCTGGGGCAGGGCTCGGGTTTCTCATGGGAGTTCTGGAAGGGTCCATGGTGGCCAACATGCTTCAGTCCAGGATGCCCTCAAGTCTGACCAGAGTGATGCTTCGCACCAAGTCACCTTCCTGGCTTAAGGGGCAGCTATCCTCTTCAGAGGGAAGCCTGGGAAAGAGCCCAGTGGAGTGTCAGGGTCCTGAGTCTTAGTCCTGGCCCTGCCACTTGTGAGGGACCTTGGGCCTTAGTTTCTCCAGGGGTGATGGGTCCAGGTGGGCTCCACAATTGCTTCTCTTAATCTGGACTGCCCCAGTGCCCAGGTTCAGAGAGTGACACAGGCAGCTGGGTTTCCATGTCCTCTCACTTGGGTTCCCTTCACTGGCTCCAGGCAGGACTCGGCCCTTCACCCTCAAGTGGCCCATTGTGTGAGCTCAGTTTCAATGGGGACAGAAACTGGGTTGAGAAAAGAGAATGTTTACCTATTCCACCGAGTCAATGCCCAAGTAAATAGCAGGGCATCATACGTGGAGCCCCTGCCCTTCCCTTCCCCATCTGAGCGTTGCTGCCTGGAGCATATAAAAGGCACCTTGCTGGGCTTGTCTCATACTAGCCCACCAGACCCAGAGACAAGCCAGAGCATCGCCCGTCTCCACCATGAAGTTCACTGTCACCCTCACCCTGGTCATGCTGGCTCTCTGCTGCGGCTCTGGTAAGTGTCCAGAGTCCCTTCCCTCCCTCTTGGACTCAGGAACCCTCAGGACCACCCAGTTCTGCTAGAAGAAGGGGTGAGCTGCCCGTGCCGAGGACCTGGGCATGCCGAGTCTCAGAAAACTGGGTCTGGTGAGCAAGTTCGTCTTGGGAACTTGGCAAGAGTCCCAGGCTGTGAGGAAGCTTAAAAAGGGTCCCATCTTCCATATCCAACAACCTCAGAATCCCAGGGAATGGAATAGCTTGGAGGGAGGAGTGGAGAAGACCCCATAGGGATAGTGCATTCAGCATCAGAAGGATGAGGCCCTCCAGCCCAGACTTGGACAGACCCCAAGATGCTGAGATCTTGGTGCAGCCTCCAAGTCTGGGGTCTCCTCTCCATGCTGGCAGCTGAAGTCCCTGGAAGGGGAGCTCTAGGGACTCATGACCCTGAAAGAAATCTAATCCAAGACAAGGTCTCTCATTCTGGACACAGAGGAATATTCCAGAAAGAGATCTTCCCTTTGGGGAACTGCCAACCCAGAGTGGAGTTTTCTAAACATTTTTGTCCTCTTCAAAAGGGATTAGGAGTCTCTAAGTTTTTACTGCTGTCATTAAAAGGAAATGCATGCAGAGGGAGGGAACGGGGGCAGAAGGAGAGAGGGAGAGAGGAAGAGAAAGGAAGGAAGACGCACCTCTCTCCAAGATCCCCGTCTTTGGGGAACTGGAACTCCATTTTTCACTCTGCATCAGTCTCTCATTCTTATCTGAAAATGCTGTTGCTGTTTTTTAATAAACAAATTCCAATTAATTCACTTGGAAAGTTTCACAACAGCCATGGAAATAAGTGTTATGGCCCTGGAGGGTTAGAAAACCCAAACCAAGAAGCAGCAGGAATAACTATGTTGCAGAGAGGTTTATTTGTTTCCCAGAGAAAATGACATCATTTTGGACTGAAGTGTGTATTAATTAGAAGATCTCAGTGCTGTCTGCGTACAGAGGGGGGCAGCTGAGCAAGACAGGACTGAAGCATGTTAAGGGTGGGTCAGAGATGCATTTCTCTATTTGCACGCACACACGTACAACATTTAACACTCACGTCACACAATGTGCCAAGCACTGTTTGTCACCCTTTCACTTATCTCTTTTCATTCTTACAACCCTATGAAGTAGGGACGGTGGGCCAGGCACAGTGGCTCTCGCCTGTAATCCTAGCACTTTGGGAGGCCAAGGTGGGTAGATCACTTGAGATCAGGAGTTAGAGACCAGCCTGGCCAACATAGTGAAACCCTGTCTCTACTGAAAATACAGAAATTAGCTGGGCATGGTGGCTGGCACCTGTAGTCCCAGCTACTTGAGAGGCTGAGGCAGGAGAATCACTTGAACCCGGAAACAGAGCGACAGAGCGAGACTGTGTCTCAAAAAAATAATAATAATAAAGTAAAAAAAATTTTTTTTTTGAGATGGACTCTCACTCTGTCATCCAGGCTGGAGTGTAGTGGCATGATCTTGGCTCACTGCAGCCTCCACTTCCCGGGTTCAAGAGATTTTCCTGCGTCAGCCTCCTAAGGAACTGCGATAACAGGCACAAGCCATCATGTCTGGCTAATTTTTGTATTTTTAGTGAAAATGAAGTTTCACCATGTTGGTCAGGCTGGTCTCGAACTCCTGACCTTGTGATCTACCCTCCTGGGCCTCCCAAAGTGCTGGGATTACAGGTGTGAGCCATACCATGTGGTCAATAAAATTTTTTTCAAAATAAAATGAAGTAGGGATATTGTTCCTATTTTACAGATGAGAAAACTGAGGTACAGAAAGAGTGACTTGCCTGGTGGCACTGTAAGTTACAAAGCAAGGACCTAAGTTCTGGAGAGGGTCTGACTTGGAGTGGCCATTTCTAGTGAGGCCCCAGAGTTAGAGGAGGGAAGCCAAATTTGTACACAAGGCAGAGAATTCAAGGGCAAGAAATTTGAGACTCGCTGGGAAGATGGAGGCAAGCAGGGGTAAAAAAAAACATGAGTTTCAGCCGGGTATGGTGGCTCACACCTGTAATCCCAGCACTTTGGGAGGCCGAGATGGGTGAATCATCTGAGGTTGGGAGTTCAAGACCAGCCTGACCAACATGGTGAAACCCCATCTCTACTAAAAATATAAAGTTAGCCAAGCATGGTGACGCAAGCCTGTAATCCCAGCTACTCGGGAGGCTGAGGCAGGAGAATCCCTTGAACCCAGGAGGTGAAGGTTACGGTGAGCTGAGATCGTGCCACTGCACTCCAGCCTGTGCAACAAGAGTGAAACTCCATCTCAAAAAAAAAAAAAAAGAAGAAATGGTGAGTTTCCTCCATGTCCCTGGTTGTAAGGAGCTGAGAAGGGAACACAACCTGGCAGTTCTGTGTTGAAGGGAATGCAGTGGGACAGGTGGCTGCTCTGTCCGTGAGTGTCCTGAGCGTGCCACAGGGCCTAGTGCCCACATGTGCACACCTCTTCCCAGCCAGGTCTGGGGCCCCATGTTTGGCTGGTACAATCATGTCTTCCTGCCAGAGCCTGAATTTGTCACATGTCCCTGGTGACACATGGCTCGGGGCACCCCTAACCACTGGTGAGAGGCAAGTTTCCGGTGGAAACAAAACCCTCTGTGGCTTCTTCCCAGCCTCCACACTGCATTAAAAATTCAGGCCAGCGGCTTCTGTGATCAATACTCTGCCTTGATCTGTAACAGAAAGGAACATGGCGTCTCGCTCACCTCAACGCAAGAAGTCCAAGGCAGACTGGGTAATCCACAAAAAGCTGGCTATAACCCAGAAAGTATTCGCGAAGCACCAAATAGGCAGCCACTTAGAGCACCAGCAGATCTTACAGTCTGGTCCATGGATGAAAAGGCTGCTATCTCCTGCTGATGGGCCTGGCTGTTTGCATCTGGGCAGACCCAGCCAGAGAGCTGGCCAGCTTGGAAAGGGGCCTGGAGACATACGCCTTCTCTTCTCTGTGTTGCAGCTTCCGCAGAGATCTGCCCCAGCTTTCTGGAGGTCATCGAAACCCTCTTCACGGGCACACCCTCCAATTATGAGGCTGCCATGGAACCTTTCAGCCCTGATCAAGACATGAGTGAGGCAGGGGCTCAGCTGAAGATGATGGTGGACACCCTCCCCCAGAAGGCCAGAGATAACATCATGAAGCTCCTGGTAACCAGCACCCTTCACTTCCCACTCTTTTGAAGTGGCTTCCCCAAATGGAGCTGCAGGGTTGCCCCAGTGTTCGGACCCATTTTTAACCCAGAGAGGAGAGTCACAGTCCCACTGCCCCCAGGCAAGCAGCACGGTGATCTTTCTAGGCATCTTCCCTTACTTTTTTCCCTTTTTTTTTTTTTTTTTGAGATGGAGTCTCACTCTCTTGCCCAGGCTGGAATGCAATGGCACGATCTCGGCTCACTGCAACCTCCACCTCCCGAGTTCAAGCCATTCTCCCGCCTCAGCCTCCTGAGTAGCTGGGATTATAGGCATCCCCCATCATGCCCAGCTAATTTTTATATTTTTGTAGAGACAGGGTTTCCCCATGTTGGCCAGGCTGGTCTCAAACTCCTGATCTCAGGTGATTTGCCCTCCTTGGCCTCCCAAAGTGTTGGGATTACAGGCATGAGCCATCACTTCCAGCCACCTCTTACTTTTTTTTTTTTTTTTTTGAGATGGAGTTTTGCTCTTGTTGCCCAAGCCAGAGAGCAACGGCACGATCTCGGCTCACTGCAACCTCTGCCTCCTGAGTTCAAGTGATTCTCCTGCCTCAGCCTTCCAGGTAGCTGGGATTATAGGTGCTCACCACCACACCCAGCTAATTTTTTTTGTATTTTTAGTAGATGGGGGTTTCACCATGTTAGCCAGGCTGGTCTCAAACTCCTGACCTCGTGATCTGCCCGCCTCGGCCTCCCAAAGTGCTGGGATTACAGGCATGAGCCACTGGGCCCTGCCCCCGCATATTATTTTTCAAGAGGCTTTTGAGAAACAATCCAAGCCCTTACTGCCTTAGTTCCTCCTAGAGCTGACTGTCTCTCTCCCTTGATGCCAACGTTTCTGTGGCCCATGATCTCTGCCTAACTATGCAATTCATTCACTATTGTGTTCGATTTTTCTGTTGCTTTCTTTCTTTATTTCTTTTAGGAAAAAATAGTCAAAAGCTCACTGTGTAATTAGGCTTCAGAAGCCAAAGTTCCCCGAGTCCACCACCCCTGCCGCTGCCAGAGCTTCTCGGCCCCATGCCCACCAGCCTTGCTCTCTTCAGTAAACCACGAGCATCTCAGTTTGTGCCCCCTGTGTTTTTTTTGTCTCCCTGTTATGGGCGGGGGGGGTCTGCCCTGTCTGGGTAAGGTGAGCCAGGACGAAAGGAAAGCAGCAGATCTCTGTCCTCGGCTCCCAGCAGAAATCTCCGTGCTCTTCCAAAGCGCCTTTCCTCTAGGTTTCTGCCTCCATCAGAGTTCAAACTGCTCCCCTTACATCAGACCATCTGCTCGACATCACAGACTCCACCTGTCAAACAGAACCAGTGACCCCGCCCCAGTCTGTTGCTATCTCAGTGAGTTCTGGCTCCCTCCTCCCCACTGGGCTGCACCAGCCTGAGGAGCATCCCCGACCCTTCCTTCTCCAGCCAACCCAGGCTACCTCTACAGCGTCTGGAATCCATCACTCCAAGTCCACAGGCAACACCCCCAACCCTGGCTGTCCAGCCCCCGGCCTCCCCTCTGCTCCCAGCCAGACTCCACAATCCCTTCTCCAGCAACCCAAAGGAATTCTTATCAACTGCAAAGTTCCACCCCATCCTTCAAAGCTTTCCAGGGCTCTTATTGTAAAATCCTAAATCCCAACGACGGTGGCCCCTCACCAGTCTTTCCTGCCCCCCTCCTTCCCATGGCTCCCTCATTCTGCTCAGTCCCCACACACGCTCCCACCTTCCCTGCCCTCAGTTTTTAAAAAGAGCCCAGCGCCTTCCAAACTTACAGGCTGGGAGCAGTGTCTCACGCCCGTAATCTCAGCACTTTGGGAGGCAGAGGCAGGTGGATCACCTGAGGCCAGGAGTTTGAGACCAGCTTTACCAACATGGAGAAAGCCCGTCTCTATTAAAAATACAAAATTAGCTGGGTATGGTGGGACATGCCTGTAGTCCCAGCTACTCGGGAGGCTGAGGCAGGAGAATGGCTTGAACCCAGGAGGTGGAGGTTGCAGTGAGCTGAAATCATGCCATTGCCCTCCAGCCTGGGCAACAAGAGCAAAACTCTGCCTTGAAAAAGAAAAGACCTTCGTACCAGCCACACAGCACTGGCTGCTGAAAAAGTGTGGCTGATTGGTTTTAAAAATTGCTCTAGACCAAAATGTGCAAAGAATAGAAATCCTAAAGATGCATCCATGTGATGTAAAGATCCCCAAATCACCCCCCACCCACCACGCTGTTTCATGGCAGCCAGCCCCTTGCTGGGCCACATCATCCACAGCACCTAAAGAAAAGAGGAGAATTGGCTGGGCTTGATGACCCACACCTGTAATCCCAGCACTTTGGGAAACTGAGGTGAGAGGATAGCTTGAGCCTAGGATTTCGAGACCAGCCTGGCAACATAATGAGACACTCCATCTCTACAAAAATAGAAATGAATCAGCCGAGTCTGGTAGCATGCCTGTAGACCTGGCTACTCTGGAGGCTAAGGTAGGAGGATCTCTTGAGCCCAGGAGCTCCAGGCTGCAATGGGCTATGATTGTGCCACTGCACTCCAGCCTGGGTGACAAGAGTGAGACCCTGTCTCAAAAGGAAAGAAAAAGGTGGAGGACTGCAGAGAGCCACAAGAACAGGAGGAGCGTCGGCCCAGAGGGCACGGAAGGAGGCAGCTGGTGAGAGGCAGAGCTCTCCAGTCCGGACTCTTCCAAGGGGCACCGTGGTATGGCGGGCCTGGCGCGCCGCGGCCACTAGGGGACAGCATTGGCCGCAGGGTCCCGGAGCAGACACAGTGTCAGGGCTGTGCGGCTCCCAGAGGCCCAGCTCTGGGGATCTCGTGTCATCTGTATAATTTTTAAAATCTTGGCCTGGTGCGGTGGCTCATGCCTGTAATCCCAACACTTTGGGAGGCCGAGGCGAGTGGATCACCTGAGGTCAGGAGTTCTAGACCAGCCTGGTCAACATGGTGAAACCCCATCTCTACCAAAAACACAAAATTAGCTGGGCATGGTGGCACACTCCTCTAGTCCCAGCTACTCGGGAGGCTGAGGCAGGAGAGTCACTTGAACCCGGGAGGCGGAGGTTGCAGTGAGCTGAGATTGGGCCACTGCAGTCCAGCCTGGGCGACAGAATAAGACTCCTTCTCAAAAATAATTAAGTAAATCTCATTTTTTGAGGGTTTTAAAAATCCTAATTCTGAGGGTAAACAGGGGCAGTCACACAAAGCTGCCACCTGGTTGAACCCTGCTAGGGAGTGATGCATCCGTTCTTTGGGAATCATCCATCCCCAGATGATTCCAAGGGCCGGGACCACAGAATCTAGAATCTGAGATGGCCCCAAAGGTGGAGAGGACGGCAGCGAGCTGACCAGGGCGGCCTTTGACCTCTGCCTGCCCTGTTTTTAAAGTCGCCAGGCAGAAACCACAACCCAATAACCCTTATTGATCGCTTAGGTGCAGGCAAGTGCTTTCACAATCTCTCATCTGCTCCTCACACAACCCGGATTCCAGAGCCCAAGCCCCAAACCCTGCCTTGCAGGCGGTGGTGGAATCCCCAATTCCAGAACCCCCAGAACCAAAAATCCAAATCATGGTGCTGAGAAAGTCCACCTGCCCCCAGGCGCGCACAAAAACTGGAAAGCCACCTGCCCTTCATTGTCAGCCACGAAGGAGGGGCTCTGGTTGTAAAAATTCCAGAGCAGGTTGTGAGGGTGGGGGATGATGACAAGCAACTCCAAAAGAGATTCCTTGAGGGGGCGGCCTGGCTCCCTCTCCTCCCCCACTCCCTCCCAGCTGAGGAATCACATTCTCCCTCACCAGGTCAGCCTAAAGCACATACCTTTCCCTCCGGTGGGTTATCTGCCTGGATGAGTATTGTTCCATGGGATAAGGATCCAGAACCATAAAAGGTTCAGAATCTTAATTACCTATTCACAGCCAAGGAAATATTTACCCAGAGTCAATCCAAGGCAGGTGTCTGAGAATAGGAAGCACAATTAGGGAGCAGCGGGGTAGGGGGCTGGGATGACGCTGCAGGAATCGCTGTGGGTGATTCACAAGAATTTGAGCAATGTCAGCCCACAGAAATGGGTGTTAAGTTTTCAAACAGCAGAATGCAAAGATAAACTGATTGCAGCCACAGGAAGAGCACGTATCTGTGTGATGCACGCTGACAGAAAGCAGAAGGAAATTTGAGAAATGAAGGCACCAGTCACCGGGTTCTTTTCCGTCTGTGTATAGTTGCTCACACCAGTTACTCGTGTATTGTAGCATTGGGTCTGCAGACTATGGCCAGTGGGCCAAGTTCAGGCTGTGGCCTATTTTTTTTCCCCCCTTTTCTTTTTTTTTTTGAGACGGAATCTCACTCTGTGGCCCAGGCTGCAGTGCAGTGGTGTAATTTCAGCTCACCTCCCAGGTTCAAGTGATTCTCCTGCCTCAGCATCCCAAGTGCCAAGGGACCTCAGACACATGCCACCATGCCAGGCTAATTTTTTTGTATTTTCAGTAGAGATGAGGGTTTCACCATGTTGGTCAGGCTGGTCTCGAACGCCTGACCTCAGGTGATCCACCCGCCTAGGCCTCCCAAAGTGCTGAGATTACTTAGCGTGGGCCTCGAGCTAAGAATGGTTTTTACATTTGAAGGAGGAGAAGGAAGAGAAAGAAAAAGTATGGCCCTTTGTATCATATAAATATATATATAATTATACAGTCAGTCATTTTCACTATGAATATGCTAAGCTCTAAGCCCCAGGAGGCCAATGCAAGGCTGTAAGCATCCTGCCTTTGGGAGGCATTAAGCTGTGTGAAGAAAAACTGAAAACTCATCAAGCCTGGGCACAGTGGCTCGTGACTGTAATCCCAGCATTTGGGGAGTCCAAGGCGGGCAGATGGCCTGAGTCCAGGAGTTTGAGACCAGTCTGGACAATATAGTGCCTCTACAAAAAAAAAAAAAAAAAAAAAAAAAAAAACCTACAAAAAATTAGCTGGGTGGGTGGTGCATGCCTGTAGTCCCAGCTACTCAGGAGGCTGAGGTGGGAGGATCGCTTGAACCCAGGAGGTAGAGGTTGCAGTGAGCTGAGATCTCACCACAGCTCTCCAGCCTGGGTGACACAGCAATATCACGTCTAAAAAAAAAAAAAAAAAGTCATCAAAGCCAAAAAAAGAAAAAAAAAATTTAAAAATACAAATGTATAGTAGTTTTAGCATTCATACCCTTGAGGATCCCAAGGGAGGAAAAGACCACATTTCTTGATCACATTGTCAAGAAAACTAAATCTGAGTGAAAAACTTTTTTGAAAGTGTCTATTACTCCTGAAACCTGCAACGAAAGGAAACTTTGCTGGAGGAAAGCTAAGGCAGAATGGCAATTAGCAAATACGGCCACCATGTTGCAAAATCCAGGGGCTGTGTCAACGTGCCCGGACTAATCGATCAGCAGGAAAGCTACAGCTGTACATGTGAGACAGGCGAGGTGAGCCGCACAGAAATATCTATAAATGACTCATGAGGCAGGAAGAAGAAGCAAAGGCAGCCTCCATCAGCCTTATCACGATGATATGGATAAAATTATGTCTAGTTTGCAGCTGATGCAAGGCCTGCTGTTTTCAAATGCCAAGGGATTTGTGGGCAGTCATCATCATAGGGGAGACTGCCACACCAAACGGCTTCAGATAGACGATAAAGAGAACCTTTATTGATGATGATGGGGCCACATAAACAATGCATTTGGAAACGTGTAATTAGGGAATGTTCCTCCCAAGCGCTTTCAGAATACACCAACAGGCACATGGGGATAATGGGAGGATGAATCATCAGTAGTTAGCTGCCCAGCGTATTTCCATGAGCAAACTAAAATTATAAAACTACAGTACATGCAAAAATAAATCTGAAAATAGGCCGGGTGCGGTCGCTCATGCCTGTGATCCCAGCACTTTGGGAGGCTGAGGCGGGCAGATTACCCGAGGTCGGGAGTTCGAGCCCAGCCTGACCAACATGGAGAAACCCCATCTCTACTAAAAATACAAAATTAGCCGGGCGTGGTGGCACATGCCTGTAATCCCAGCTACTCCAGAGGCTGAGGCAGGAGAATCGCTTGAATCC